TCCTTAGGCCCAAAAGGCTGGGAGTTGTGGATAGTGAGGCTAAACTCTGGCTTTTCTCCTCTCTTCCTTCGCTTGTTCCATTTCTGTCATTTCCACCAGATAGTCCTTCGTCACGGAAGCCTCCTGCTTTGCTGTCTTTACAGAGCTTGTCTGGTCAAGTATAGGCAGAGTTTTGGATCCAGCCTACAGATGGGCATAGGCAGCATAGGGCTGCTGCCGAGGAGGGATGCGCTCTGTCTGATGGCAGTAGTTACCTGCAGTAGGTTTGTGAGCAAGTGGCCTCATCTGCCTGCATGATTTAGGTCTCACAAGAAACTTCAGATATAAGTGATTCCCTAATAAGCTTTTACATGTATCTTAATATATAGAAAGGGAGTGACCTATTTTCAAAGTATTCTTTTCAGTAGAACATCTTTTTTTAATGTGTGTGGTTGAAAGCTGCCACTCTTTACTTAGAAGCTTGTCTTGTTTCAAGAGAAGAAACATTCATTCGATTTACAGTGTCCACTTCTTAAGCAGCATAATACAGTTTGCTAATAGACTGACTCAATCTGATTTTTTTTTAATATAAAATATATTCCCATGATAGGTTTGGAAGCTGCCTCTTGGAGAGTAATTTTATAATTGTCCTCAAGTGTTAATGTAAAACCATGTAAGTATAGAGATACTAGAAAGATGAATTTAGCATTATCTAGGAAGAAAAGTTTTGCCTAGGCTGTTTTCTCAAAAGGTATCTTGATGTCTCAAAAGAAATCTTCCTAGTGTTTCAGGTGCTGTAGCACCTCTCTAATGATGGTAATGTCAGTGCCGCCTTCTGAATCGCCTTCTCCCCTCCTCTCCACTCCCTCCCTAGCTCTTGCTTGTTGACCCTCATGCAGCACAAAAACTTCTTGTACTCAAATTAGCTATCAGATGGTCCCTGTACTTTTTGGATGTAGGGCCTAAGAGCCTGGTAAAATTGCAATATTCTTCTTCTTAATATATCAGGCTGTGTTTGGGGTTGGATTTTTTTTTTTTTGGTTGGTTGTTTTTTGCTTGAAATAATTTTGCATCTGGGTGGCTTTCTGAAAGTTAGCGCTGCATCACTCTCTCACCTTGGCCCTGTATACATTTCCCGTAGGACCACAGTTATGCTATGGCGTATCTATCACTTCCAAGTTCCACTGAGCATAAAAAATAATATGACTACAGTAAGTTTTCTTCTACTACTGCTTTAAGTGAATGCAGAATACTTTGTAGTTATAATCCTACAAACCCAGGTCTAGCCCCAGGAATAGAAGAATGAAGATATGTGATTACAAATTGGAATGCTTACCAGAATTACTTTGTTACATTGCATTTTCTGTTTTATTCGTACTGCTTTCATATTCCTTCCTACCATGATTCATCATCCAAATTATGTACGATTGAATTGAAAACTGGGCTATATAATGAGAAAGGTCATACAGAGATTTCATGTAAATAAATAAATAAATCTAATAATATTTCAGTAATTACTTCAAGAGTTTTGACTTTGTGGCTTATGTAACTAGTCAAAAGATTATTAAAGATGCTGAACTTATTAAAATGTATTAAACTCTCAACTATTTTGTGTTGTTAGGGTTGATTGCGTGGGAATACTGAAGCTGAGAAATGCTGATGTTGAAGCTAGGATAGGGATTGCTGGTTCGAAGAAGAAAAGCACACGTGCTAGGCTGGTATTTCGTGTTAACATCACTCGCAAAGATGGTTCAACTTTGACTCTTCAGACACCTTCTTCCCCAATTTTGTGCAGTAAGTATCAAAATAAAAAGTTAGAGGACCCTGGATTTTAGTGTGATTACTGTGACATGCTTTGGGGGGGGAAAAATGCTCCAGTGTTAATCTTTGGTTATTTCAGAAGTGCTATGGCTAAGATCACATTGATTTTTTTTAGTTGGGGTGGGGTGTTAGTTAAATGACTGGCCAATATTTAAAAGTAGTTATAAATCACAGATTCACAGAATCGATTTGGTTGGAAGAGACCTCTGGGATCATTGAGTCCAACCTTTGACCTAACACCACCCTGTCAACTAGACCTGATCTTTTCTTAAATGAATTTTTGCCTTTTAAAAGGTCAGAATTTTTGTCATGATTGAACTTACTACGTGACTTTTTTAATACAGGTTTTAATGTCTTCTGTGTTGTCACATTCATCTGTCAGCTTTCAGTGATAGAAAAGATTGTTAATAAGGTAGTAAGCATGGCTCTTTACAGTTGCGGTAGTTCGCTGGGCTGGAGGCTGAATCTGTTCTGGTTCAGTGCAAGAATGAAGCTTTTTATAGCTATTTATTAAAATGCTCTGTTTAACACTGAGCACAGATGGCTGTGTTGACTGGTAGGTTATACTGAACAGCAGGGAAAACAAAATCAGAGGCGGCTGCACTTCGTCAGGGGCTGCCTGTGCCTGTAGAGTCTGTGGTGACTTCCAGTTATGGGGAATTCTGCTCATCTGTCAAAGAGAAAAGATAGGGAAATGTGTTTAATAGAGCTGTTGATGGGATTACTGTTATTTCTTGATGAACAAGAAGATAGGAGAGCTTTTTCTTCATACGTGGAACATAGCATGATTATGCAAGCTCCTGGGCACTTGGTTTGTGCTCTTTCCATTGTATAAAAAGTTATTGTTTTTTGGTGGTGTGTTTTTTTTTTTTTTTCCTAAACACTGTCAGTACCTATTGTGTCAGGGCTCCCATTCAACTCATCAGAAACTGCAGCTTTGTTGCCAGCAAAAAAAGAGATTGGAAGAGGAGATAATTAAAAACATGTGAGCTTCCACATCAGATACCACCGTGCGATTCCAGTGCTGCAGGCAACAGGCGATTCGGCAGCTGTGGCACGTAGCCCGTCTCTCCTTCCACTATTCTGCTCTCACAGTGAATCCCTTTGCAAGACCCGGGGAGAGCAGGACCCCTCGGAGACCCTGCAGAGGCTGATAACAAGGACATGTCACTGCTGATGCAGGGGAGGGCACTCCTCCTCTCTTCAGCCATGTTCTGTGCTTTAGGCAGTAGTTTGACATTCGGGCTGCTCTTCCAGAAAGGGCAGCTTGAGGTGTTCTTGTCCCTCTTTTCCTCCTCCTGCCACTTTTTGCTAAATCTTTTTCCAGTGTGTTGTTTTTTTTTAAAAAAAACTGGTAGAGTTCTCAGATTTATGTGTTTGTGTTGTTGGAAAATACATGAGTATGTTTGCTAGAAATATGGTTGTCTCTGTGGCTCCATTCCAGTCAGTATAACACTGTACTATCTGATACTAATTTTCAGATTTAAGAAAAAAAAACATTTTCTAGAAAATACCTAGAAGTTATTTCTGTATACTTTTGTTTGTATCTTTAACTTACTGGTTAAAGATAAAATTATTTAAGTCATAGCAGAAATGGGAATGGAAATCATCTGGTGTTTTCTTAAGCACATACCAATCCAAAACTTGGTATTCTAAGTAGAAGCTGAGAGTCTGAGATGTTTTAGAGACGAACTTTCAAATAGGCTGTTAAGCTACAAAAGCTGTATTTGATGCAATTCCTGCTTAGCTTGTTCGTAAGGCCATTCCAGTGTTGGTTTATGAGGGTCCCTTGTCTTCATTCTCTGTTTGTTGAATGCATCCATTTATAACCCTAACATTAGTAGCTGTATTTTGAGATATGGTCAGTGATTAAAATGCAAAATATATGAGAGGGATGACCTGCTAAGGACCATTAGAAGAAAAGGAAGAGGTTACCCTTCCATAAATAAAGTTCTAAAAAAAAAAATTACAGTGAAGAGTAAATTGGTTTAGTGTTTAGCAAGCTGAGGTTTGGTCAGTTGATAAGAAAATCTTCTTCATTGTGTAAGTCGCTAAGAGATTGCCCAGGAATTTTATAGCATCTCCACTGCTGGAAATCTAAAACAAAGAAAGAAAATGCTCTGGTAAGAGTTGTGTCTTTGATGAATGATGTGGGTAAAACTTGTTGTGATATGAAGGTTGAGAGGGGAATTCATGAGGCTCTCCCCAGGATTCTGTGCATCTGCTCTCTTAACTTACCCCAAAGTTATGGTGACTTGCAGTAGACATTAGCTGCTAAATAGTGCTGGTACGTACGTACTGGCTGATCAATGTGGCATTAAATTTTGTTGTTTATTAAATTATTTGTTTATATAAATAATCTCCTCAAGCCCATTACACCTGTTTTGTTTGCTACATACATCTTACCACAAATGTGTACTGTACCTTCTCATAATAAGCTTTACATTTTCACTCATCGGAGCCTGTTTATGTTGTGTTTTATTACTAATATTGCTGTCAAAGTTGCAGTAATGTGTCTGAGACCATAAGAAAGACATTAAGTAGATGCAGGCTCTTTATTTAAATTCTGCATTTTAAATAGCCTTTGTTCACTTGTTAGCAAACCTAAATCCAGTTACTCTTCTCACAAGTTCATGTGCCTTGGGCGTATTTAGTAGTTGCATAATGGTTGCCTAGGAACCCGCTGCAACAGTTGTAGAAAAATCCTTTCTGAAAGGTCATTAAACAGTTTGGACTGTTACCGTATGTAGGTTCTTCCATGTAGTAAGCCCAGACAATATTGTTATTAAACACTAAAAGCGGGCCATGTAAGCGCAAAGCACAAGTACAAGCTTATGCCAGTAGGATTTTATGGTGAACAGAAAAAGTGGTTGAGGAACCTTTATTAGAAACTGGAATTACTTTATAACATATTAAATGTGACAAAGTCAAAGTACGTTATTTTAAAATGTATGTCTATTTAAGTTGTCTTTGTTGCTCATTTTCATTTAACACACATGGTCTTACTTGATGTGTTCTTTAAGAAGCATAGCAATAGTTTGCAGCAAAGACAATTTATAATATGTGTTATATAAATCATCATCTGAATCGCTGGCTAAGAGGCAGAGGTTTCCAGGGACCTGTATCTGTAAGTTGCATTTCTTTGCTAGTTGGTAGGATATAAATTGCTGTAATTCACAGGTACGCAGATGTGACTCTCTCAAGGGTTTGTGGTAACTGAAGTATATAGATCTAGAAAGTCATAGAATCGTAGGATGGTTTGGTTGGAAGGGACCTTAAAGACCGTCTCGTTCCAACCCCCCTGCCGTGGGCAGGGACACCTTCTACCAGACCAGGTTGCTCAAAGCCCTGGCTAAGTTCTTGCACCAGCCAGAAAGCTACCTCAAGTGAAAAAAAAAAACCTGTAAAAACACAGGTAATGTGGAAATTACTACTTCTACCCTTTTGCATAGTAGAACAAAATAAACTTCATAAAAAAATGTTTTTATGAGCTTAAGGATAAATTTGAAGGTGTGCTTCAGCTGTACCTAAGGGCTGAGTCATTTGTGTATCGCTCTCTATGCCAGCAAATTACAGAACCAAATTTTCTTCTCTTCTGAACGCTTCTGGGGGTTTAGCTCAAGCACTGAAGGTTTAGTTTTGAAGACTTAATAAATGCAGGAGAAAAGGGAAAAGATTATTAGGGGATCATCTACCTAAGTGTGATTTTTATGAGGTCATTATATTTAGTGAGGAAATAATAGAAACGGTTGTCTTCTGAAAAGTTTTGTCATGAACGATACAGTAAAGGAAGCAGCTCAGAAATTATTTTGTTCTTTCATTTATAATCCTGTAAGAAAAGCTTTTTGGTTTGGATGTTGATATTTTCTCGATTTCAAACCATGTGTTTTTTCAATTGCAGCTCAACCAGCAGGCGTTCCAGAGATCCTCAAGAAAAGTCTGCACAGTTGTTCAGTGAAGGGTGAAGAGGAAGTTTTTCTGATTGGCAAGAACTTTCTAAAGGGAACAAAAGTGATTTTTCAAGAGAATGTTTCTGGTTAGTGTGAAAGCAATAATGGCTTGGGGTGCTGAAGAGAGCGTGATGTTTGGGTTTACACTGGTTGATAAAGTTTAGTTGTAGAGAGCGAACTGAGAAGCAGCATGAAAGGCACTAAAATAAATTGCTTTATATGGATGTGCAATAAATCATGCTTTTTAACTTTCATTTAGATGAGAATTCTTGGAAGGCAGAAGCTGAAATAGACATGGAATTATTTCATCAGGTACTTCTGCATTATTATAATTATTTTTCTATTTTAATTAAAAAAAAGGACTCTGACTCTGTTTCCAAAGAAAAATCGAGTAAGTCTTTCCCTCTTCCTGTGCATTTCTAGAAATAATATTCCTTTTCTTCAAATCAGTTCGTTCGTTAGTCTGGTAGAATATCATTGTTTTGGATTTACGCAAGTACAATTGTTCAGTTTCTAAATGAGCACTTAGCACAGTAGGAGTGTGGTATATGGACTTGGTGAGCAAGTCTTTGCCCTTGCATATAATGTAATTAAAAGGCCTAATACATTTTTTCCAGTAGCTTTGCTAAGGACACATCAGATTACTACTGAGTGGAAATAGATTGTGTGTACACCATAATCTTTGTACCTGGCTGAATTTCTGTTCCACTCTGAAATATTTTACAAAATATTTGTTTATTCTTTTTGACACAACTAAGTGTCTTTATGGGCTATTGGCCTGAAATTAGGGGAATTATTGGATATAAATGATGTCCGACAAATGTCATCTTGCTCCCACCTCTGAAGGCGGTATTCCAAGCATGCACTGGTAGAAATGATTTCTCACTCCTAGGTGGATAGACAGGTAGGTGGGGAATGAGAGAGTTCACTCATCGCTGCTGCTGCTGTTGATTGATTGCAGACCTGTTTTCTGATGTCTGCGCAGTGGTGAATGTGCTTGAGTGTAACAGGAAACTGCATCCTCTGTCTGGTCACACTGAATACAAAGACCTGATTCACCAGAACAGTGAAGTGTCCGAGTCCAGCAGAATTTGATGGCAAACTGATTGCAGTTCAGTGAGGCGTGTTAGGCATAAGCTTGTCTTTAAAGTACTGGACTCTATACATCTTTCCTTTCTGCACCTTCCATTTGAGCTGTAAGTTGCCAATGAGCATCATATAGGCAGATTGTTCAAATCTCTCTTCTAGCACAAGTTAATTATCAGTTTACTTCACTGAAAGTGTAACTTGATCATGTTTTCCCCAATGTCTTTGTGTTTTATGGTGTTTTATCAGTCGTTTTCTCTTGTTTTGATGGATGTAAATACAATTAAGGTCAATAGTAATGAAATAAGGTTTCTAATGTGTTTTTTTTAAAAATTATTTTTACATTCCAGAATCACCTTATTGTGAAGGTGCCACCATATCATGACCAGCAAATAACCTCAGCTGTTTCTGTGGGAATATATGTGGTGACCAATGCTGGAAGATCACACGATGTGCAACCATTTACGTACACTCCAGATACATGTATGTAAAATAGAAAGCTGGAGGAAGGAGTGGGCGGTTTTACCTGCTAAGCATCTCGTTTCTGATTTCATGGTATTTAGTCCATACAACAGAAATGTTAAGTAATGTGGATCTTTTCAAACTCCTCTTGCTAGCGAGGTTTGCTCTGTTAAATAATAAAATCTACAGGTTTGGCTTTTCTCGTTTATGTGGCAAGTATCTCAAATTTCAGCTGCATGGAGACAGCTGTTCTTGTGAGGTAACATCCATTTCTAGTATAAAGTTCAAAATGAAGCTGAGCAGGAAAAGAGGAAACGTATTACATACAGTGCACCAAACACAACTGAAAAATAGCACCAAGCCTTATCCTGAGGAAAGTTGAAGTTTGACCATATATGCAGTTTTGTTTGTTTATTTATCTGTATTACAATACACAGTGCAAAAGTTTGTGTGGGTTTCAAAGAACCTTAATTTCTTTAAGACACAAGTAACTGTTTTGGCTTGCTTTGGTTTCTTTGCTTGTTTGCTGTTTTAACATAAGGAAGTTCTCAATGTGTTTTGTCTCAACAGCTGGTACTCTGAATGTTAATGTGAAGAAGGAAATCTCCAGCCCAGCCCAACATTGTTCTTTTGAAGAGGCTATAAAAGGTACTAAATTGATTCTTATCGTTGTTAATAATTTAACTAAAAAATCCTACCCAAATTTGGAGGAATGAATCAGTCGTCCTGTGAAGATAAGTCTGGGCTTATAAAATCTGGCCGTATTCTTACAGTGAGGTTTGTTTCTGATTCTGAATATTTTACTTTACAACAGTATTCCTTTAAGTATATTTTAATATGAGCTAGTACAGAATAAAAACTTTGCAAAAAATAATATTAAAAACTTTTTTTGTTTTTCATGCCTCAGGCCCTGCAGTCTGATCTTCATTTTATATGCTTGCAAGTGAGGAAGGAAAAAGAAAGAAGCCTAAGATGGCAGTTAATACAAAGTATTTAGAAACTGTGTAGTATTAATGTAAGCAAAACCACACATAAAGGTAGTGCTGGGGAAGGAACTGAGTACTGAAAAACACAAACGTGCCAACTTGGTACTTTTTGGTGGCTGTGCAGTGGTTTTGTAAGACTGCTTTCAGTGGGTCTAGTTAAGAATGCTAATTCTGCAATTTCAGCTTACTCCCTTCAGTGAGGTTTGGTTTTTTTCTGACCATTCCGTCCATGCAAAGTTTATCATTTTGTTCTAAGGCAGCAAGTTTTAGGTTTGCCTGGTTTTTAAGTTTGAAGTGAATTGATCCTTCTGATACTGAAATGAAGTAGAGGAAGGAAATCTTTCTTAGTTGACTCTTAAAACTATGGTAGCGTACAAAGGTTGATGGAAATTTCCATAGCCTGCTCTGGTGAAAGCGGGTTGAAAGGTAAGCAAATTAACAATGTGATCACAAGTTTGATAGGAATCCATAGCTTCAGGTTAAAATCATGAAGCTTGTGTTTGAAGTTAATAGCTTGATCTTGGCAGGGGATATATTTGCAAGTTGACTTTACAACTTGCTAGGGAGGGAAATACAAGATATGATGAGTTTAAACCTGCAGAGAGTATTTGGGTGAGAAAGACGCAAAAATATTTAGGGCAATGAAACAAGCTGATAAAAGGACTGGTAAGACTTCTGGTAGGGAGATTAAAAAGATGAGGAAAATAGTAACTAATGTATCGGGGCAAGCCTGACATCCCTCTAATTTAGTGTGGAGACTTGACCAAGGGAAGATACCAACTGCTTCAGGAGAACATCTGTAGTTCGTAAGAACACAATGTGCTGTTGCTTCATGTCCTCCATTTAATTTATGCGATAAGTCTTCATTTACTTTCTTGTATGGGGTTTCCTGCTAGCCAGCTCTTTTTGACAGTTCTTTCCTGTACCTGTTCTGCTCTAGATTGATCATGAACCAGAGGGCAGACAATTTTGTCTACTTTATATACTTTGTCTCTACATATGTCCAAGCCCGTCCTTCCTCACTGTTCTGAAATGATAAAGACCAGATGGGGATCCAGAGGGATGCTACTTCGTTCCTGTTTCCTTTCACTGGGAGCAAAATCCTAGAATTCATAATTTCTTAAGTGGCATCATTTCCAGCAGCCCTGGCCAAAGAGAATGAACTGTTGCCGCCAGGGACATGTACAGTTATGTATTGAGCTACAGGGCCTTTCTCTTCCTATCACGGGCAATTTTCATCTGTGAATATTCCTTAAAATAATTTCTATTGCAACGTCTGCATATGTAAAAAAGCAAAACATGGCTTCCCAAAGCCATTACAGATTCCTAGACCTAATTTAAGAGTCTGTAGATTTGACAGACTTCAATGACAAGTTATGTTTCAAGACAACAATCTTATAACTCTAAGCTGTTCTGTAAAACTTGAGGAAGATGGGAGGTGTGTGGACAACCGTGTAGATCAGGTCTTTGCCTTGTAACAATGAAGTAGTGCTGGAGCGTTGTTTTTAAGTGGTTAAACGATGGTTTCAGTTTTCAGCTTTGGGAGAAAAAAGAGGGTGTGTATGCCTTGGTAAGATGGTAGCTATTCAGAAGTTCTAAGCTAAGTGTATGACAAAAACATAATAAAAGACCAAAACCAACAGTGTTTCTCTGCTTTTGAAACTTGTTTTTCATTATTATTATTATATTATTCGTCACTTACAGTGAAGATCTCGGATAGCTTATGTAATATTTTTATATGGATCAGGAAAAATTAAAACCAAAAGGATCTAATTCATTTTAAGAAGCCACCTTTCTACTTTAAAAAGAAAAAATAGGTGCTGCAAAAGCAAAAATAACAGCTTGTTCTTGCTACAGAGCCAGCATGCGGATTTATCGAGTTTTTGCTTGATTAGTCCTTTAGCAGAATAAAAATACTGTGTGAATGCTTTGAGCACTCTGTTCACATGGTTATCTGAAAACAGACCTTTTTCAAAATGAAACAGAGAAGTTGTACAGTTAAAGTACAGTAAAGTTTAAAATCTGACAATTTGTGGAAAGATGCGTTAAGCTTTTATCTTTGTAGTTTAAGCAGTTGATGGATGGTTGTCCTGCTGTCCAATGGAAGAAAACCAAAACTATGGCATTGCTGTTAGTCTTAAAAATAACCTGTGAAGGTTTCAGGTTTTCTAGGATTATTTGAAGTATTGAAATGTTTGCAATGATCTCTCTGCGTATTAGCATCTTAGATGAGGGTGAGAGCTCTTATGGTAGGGCTGAAAAGTGAAACGAGAAGCAGGCCACCAGGAGAAACCCACTCTGTGCACCGTAAATGTTAACATTCCATTGCTGCTCTTTTGTTTTTGTTTGTGACTGCAGCAGTGAAGGCCACCAGTTGTAACCTGGAGAAGGTAAACATTCTTCCTAGTGCCTTGATAACTCCACTCATGCCGAGCAGTATGATTAAGAACGAAGATGTGGCTCCAATGGAAGTAAGTGCAGAAAAAAGATCTCCCCCTGTCTTCAAGGTAAGTTTGATTGATCTGAAGACAGTAGCTTTAGTAGTCTTAGTTAATCTGCCCATCAATCCACATTCTAATAGTGGAGAAGTAACACACAGGGAAAATGTGAAGTCCGAGATTGGTCTGGGCAAAACATATGATCACAGAGCGTGACAATTTCCTTTGAAAGTAACTTACCTTGTTCTCGTATTCGAAAAGATTGATTGGCGATACTATGATGAATTTCTTTTGTCTTGTGACACAGAACTAGTGAATTACTGTAAGAATGTTATTTTAATCACTTCCTAGCATTGCTTTCATTAAATTGTACCTTGACTCTTTCCTTGAATTAGCATTTCCGTTGCCAGTCATTTGCTTACTTGTTTGGTTATGTATGGAGAGATACACAGCCATCAAATCTTCAGTCTGATCTTTCCTGAACATAGGGGATCGGCGGATTTTTATAAGCGTAACCTGAGTAAGCTTACAAATTACTTAATGTATTGCTCTTTTCAGACTTCAAATGTGGTTGGACCAACTCCACAAACATTGGAAAACAGTATATCCGGCATATCAACTTCTGCTTCCCATTTACCTTCTGAAAATGAAAACCAGCAGCAAATACAGCCGAAGGTGTATAATCCAGAGACACTAACTACTATCCAAACGCAGGACATTTCCCAGCCTGGTAGCTTTTCAGCAGTCTCTGCTCCAGGTCAGCTGCAGAACAGTGATGCATTATTGCAGCAAGCTGCACAATTCCAAACAAGAGATTCCCAAACCAGGGAAGTCTTGCAATCAGATGGCACAGTAGTCACTTTGTCACAATTAACTGATGCATCACAACAACAACAGTCTACTCTCTCAGAACCAGCACAGGCATTGCAGCAACAGATTTCATCAAGTATTTTCTCATCAGCAAGCGGTGTGAGTCAGTTACAGAACACTATACAGCAACTGCAAGCTGGAAATTTTCCAACAAACACTGCCACTGGCAGCAACAGAAATGTTGACTTGGTGCAACAGGTATTGGAAGCTCAGCAACAGTTATCTTCTGTTTTATTTTCTGGTTCGGACAGCAGTGAGGATGTTCAAGATCAGCTAAATGCAGATATCTTTCAGCAAGTTAGCCAGATACAAAATAGTGTAAATCCTGGGATGTTTTCCTCATCAGACACAGCTGTCCATTCCAGACCAGAGAACCTTTTGCCTGGACGAGCCGAAAATGTTCACTCGCAGCCTGAAAATGCACTGTCCAATCAACAGCAGCAGCAGCAGCAACAGCAGGCAATGGAGACTTCTGCAGCAATGGTGATAGGTATCCAACAAAACATTTGCCAAGCTGCAACACAGATGCAGTCTGATTTGTTCTCTTCAACAACGTCAGGGAATGGAGCCCTCCAACAGTCACCTGTTTACCAGCAGGCTTCTCACATAATGAGTGGGTTATCAACAAGCGAAGACATGCAAATGCAGTGTGAATTATTCTCTTCATCTCCTGGTGTTTCTGGAAGTGAGACTACTCCCACTGCTCAGCAGCAGGTCTCCAACAATGGACCGACTATGTTTCAGGCATCAAATTCTGCAGATGGAGAAGAAGCTTCAGGACAGAGTAAACAGATGCAAAGTACTGTATTTCAGACTATGGTTCAAATGCAGCATAGTGGAGAAAGTCAATCTCAAGTTAATCTCTTTTCATCTACCAAAACCATGATGACTGTTCAGGCAAGTGGAACTCAACAACAAGGAGGTGGTCTGTTCCAGCAAGGCGGAGAAATCATGTCTATTCAGTCGGGAAGCTTTATGCAGCAGTCTCCACATTCACAAGCTCAGCTTTTTCACTCTCAGAATCCCATTGCTGATACTCAGAATATATCACAGGAAGCACAAGGCTCTATTTTTCACAGTCCAAATTCCATTGTCCACAACCAGACCAGTACTAATTCCTCAGACCAACTGCAGCCTCCAATGTTCCACTCACAGAACACCATGGGTGTATTACAGAGCTCTTCGGTTCCTCAAGACCAGCAGTCTGCCAACATGTTCCTTTCCCAGAGTTCAATGAGCAACCCTGCGACTCAGGAAGAACAGATGTCGTTCTTTACGAGCCCAAATTCCATTTCTCCTCTTCAGACGGCAGCGAACACTGAACAGCAGACTTCTTTCCAGCAACAGACACAGATATCTCATATCCAGAGTTCTATGCTTCCCCAAGAACAGCCCCAGACTCAGCCTGCTCAGCAAGGTTTGTTTCAGTCTCAAGTGTCGTTAGGCTCCATCCAGTCCAGTTCAATTTCTCAGAACCAACAAGGAGCTATCTTCCAGCCTCAGCATTCGATAGTTGCTATTCAGAGTAGTCCTCCGTCTCAAGAACAGCAGCAGCAGCAACAGCAGAACATGATGTTCAGCAATCAAAATGCAATGGGTACAATTGCTTCTCAAAAGCAGAACATGATTTTCAACCCAAATCCAAACCCAGTTACCAATCAGGAGCAACAGGGCCAGTCCATTTTTCATGCACAGACTAACATGGCATCAATGAACCAGGAGCAGCAGCCCATGCAATTCCAGAGTCAGACTACCGTGTCTTCTCTTCAGAATCCTGGATCCAACCAGGCTGAAGCACAGCAGCCAGCCATCTTCCACAACTCTCCCCAGATTCAGTTGGTCCAAGGGTCACCAAGTTCTCAAGAGCAACAAGTCACCCTCTTCATCTCTTCAGCTTCCATGTCTGCCTTGCAGAATAGTATGAGTCAGCAAGAGCTGCAGCAGTCTCCTATGTACTCTTCTCAAAACAGCATGGCAGGAATGCAAGGAACCGCTTTCTCTCCCCAGCAA